CAAATCTTACATTTCTTCAACTTTGGCATTAGTGGTTGGTACATACATTTGAATAATAGCCATTAACTTGCTTTCCTTTTGTTGTTGTTGGTAGGTGCCATCGAGTCGGTACCGACTCATAGCGACCCGACCTTATGCACAGCAGAACGAAACAGTGCCCGATCCTGGGCCAACCTCACTACTGTTTCCACGCTTGGGTCCTTCAATGTTGCCACTTGGTCAATCCATCTTGTTGGGGGTCTTCCTTTTTTTCTCTGACCCTCTACCTGCTTTCCTTTTAGGCTTATGGATATTATTCTATCAGAGACAGAGGCTGACTTCAGGAGAGGTCTTGAAATGTTCCTTTTGACATTGGATGTGATACCATTACTCTTGAATTGGTCATTCCCAGCACAGATGGCCATATGACTGTCTGATCCAATGCCGGTCAATTACAGGAATCCTGGTGTGGCTGTGGGTTAATGTGCTCCACTTCAAAGTCGGTTTGAACTGCAAGATCGACAGATCAGCCTCACCTGCTGCTCCTCGGGAACCCTATACAAGGTCGCTATGGGTTGGAACCGACTCCATGGCACTTAACAACAGCAATACAATGCCTAGGATATTGATCTTTATGAGTTATATTTCAGTTTTGACTGCTTCCACATTTCCTAGGTCCATACTTCAGACATTCCAAGTCCCGATGATTAATGGATGTCTGCCGCTGTTTATTCTTATTTTGAGTCTTATCACGTCATGAACTGAAGGGACCAAAAGCTTTATTTCATTCTTGTTGCCAAGATAGACTGTACTGTGAGGAGGCAGCTCTTCCCCAGATGCATTGTGAGTGCCTTCCAACCCGACAGGACCGTCTCCGGCCCTATATTATTAGTCAGCGTTCTGATGATACGCATAAGGTTTTCATTGGCCAATTTTTAAATAAGTAGATGGCCATGTCTTTCTTCCTAGTCTTAACTGGGAAGTTTATCTGAATGCTATCAAGCATGGGTGACTTTGCTGGCCTTTGAATACTAATGGTACAGCTTCCAGAATCACAGCAGCACACCAAGCCTTGTGGCACAGCACACAGACAGAAAAGTGGTGGATCAGTGAATTATAATTCTATATATTTGGAGTAAAAAGTGACCATGAAAATATTTTAAATATGATTTACAACCGTATCAAAAAAAAATCAAACACCTAGGAATAAATCAGACCAAATATATACAAGACTTCTTGTTGAAAACTATCAACATTACTGGCAGTAAAGTAGACCTAAGTGACTGTCTATTTGATAGAATGCATAATGCTGTGACAATTTTCATTCTACTTAAATGTAGAATGCATGCATTTGTTGTTGTTGTTGTTGTTGTCAGGTCCCATTGAGTCGGAACTGACTCATAACGACCCCATGCACAGCAGAACGAAACAATGTCCGATCCTGGGCCAACCTCACTACTGCTGCCACACTTGATGCCATCAATGATGACACCTGGCTGATCCATCTCGTTGGGGGTCTTTCTCTTTTTCTCTGACCCTCCATCTTACCCAGCATGATATCCTTCTTTAGCGACGGTTCCCTCCTGACAATGTGCCCAAAGCATGAGAGATGAAGTTTAGCCATCTTGGCCTCCAAGGAACACTCTGGCTGCACTTCTTCCAAAACAGATCTATTGGTTCTTTTGGCAGCCCATGGCACTTTCAGTATTCTCCTCCAACACCACAACTCAAAGGCATCA